GCTCCAGTCTTAGCTCAGCCCGATATCACCAAGCCATTTGATGTGTATTGTGATGCTTCTGGCACCGGTCTTGGTTGTGTGCTGATGCAGGAAGGCAGGGTGATTTCTTATGTCTCTCGGCAGTTAAGCGACATGAAGAGCATTACCCCACCCATGATCTTGAGCTTGCAGCTGTCGTACTTGCTTTGAAAGTATGGCGGCATTATCTGTTGGGAAATCTGGTGCATATCTATACAGATCACAAGAGCCTCAAGTACATATTTACTCAGTCAGATCTGAACATGCGTCAGCGGAGATGGTTAGAGCTGATCAAGGACTATGACTTGGAGATTCATTATCATCCAGGAAAGGCGAATGTGGTTGCTGATGCTTTGAGTTGCAAGGCTCATTGCAATAATCTTATCGTTGTTCCTTACGCAGAGACGGAGCCCAGTCTTCGAGTATATCCTTATGGCTCCTTGGCCAATATATCACTTGTTCCAACTTTACGTGATGAGGTTGTGGCAGCGCAGAAAAAGGATGAGAAAGTGGATCACCTCAAGAGGAGACTCAAGCTTGGGGAAGCTAGAGTCCAGTGTTTCAGAGAGGATGAGGATGGAGTTTTATGGTTCAAGAACAGATTAGTGGTGCCGAAAGACTTTGAGTTGCGCAAGAAGATTCTTGATGAGGCGCACATGTCCAAGTATTCTATCCACCCTGGCAGCAACAAGATGTATCAGGACTTGAGGAGTCGCTTCTGGTGGACCCACATGAAACGGGAGGTCGCACAATATGTTTCTGAGTGTGACATTTGCAGGAGAGTCAAGGCAGATCATGTGAAGCCAGCCGGTTTACTGTAGCCCTTGAGTATTCCTGCATGGAAGTGGGAGGATATTAGCATGGATTTTATTGTTGGATTGCCTCGCACAGCTCAGAAGCATGATTCTATTTGGGTGGTTGTTGATCGACTGACCAAGTCTGCTCACTTTAGTCCAGTGAAGACAAGGTACACTGTGAAGAAGTATGCTGAATTGTACATCACCCGGATTCTCTGCTTGCATGAAGTGCCCAAGACTATCATTTGTGATCGGGGGCCTCAGTTTGTTTCTCGTTTCTGGGAGCAGCTACATGCATCTTTAGACACTAGATTGATTCGTAGTGTAGCTTATCACCCTTAGACAGATGGTCAGACTGAGAGGGTGAACCAGATTCTTGAGGACATGCTTCGTGCTTGTGTGCTCACTCACGGCAAGGATTGGGAAGAATGTTTGCCACTAGCGGAGTTCTCTTATAACAATAGTTATCAGGAGAGCATCAAGATGGCACCCTTTGAGGCTTTGTATGGACGTCGTTGTCGGACTCCCCTTAATTGGGTTGAGTCTGGCGAGCGATTCAGCTTTGGGCCAAAGTTGATAGCAGAGGCTGAGGAGACCGTGCGACACATCCAGTCCAACTTGAGGGCAGCAAAGTCTCGACAGAAGAGTTATGCTGACAGGAGACGCCGGCCGTTGGTATTTACAGTCGGCGACCACGTATACCTTCGTGTCTCCCCCATGAATGGTGTACATCGGTTTGGTGTCAGAGGGAAGCTAGCACCCCGATACATTGGACCGTTCCGGATATCTGAGCAGTGTGGACCCGTTGCTTACAGATTGGAGTTGCCCTCCAACCTCTCCGGTGTTCACAATGTCTTCCATGTATCGCAGTTGAGGAAGTGTTTGAAAGCTCCAGCAGATATGGTAGTCAGTGATGTTGAGCAGCTTGAGCCCGATCTCACTTATCCTGAGCAGACCATCAAGATCATTGATCGGAAGGACCGAGTCACCCGGAAAAGCACGACCAAGTTCTATAAGGTGCAGTGGAGCAACCACTCCGTGGCTGAAGCCACAAGGGAGACAGAAGAGTTCTTACACTCTCACTTTCCCAGTTTTCTACCTTCGAGGTGAGTTTTTAGTTTGCTTCCAATTATGCATCTTGTTCGTCGTTCTTGCTTTTTCTTCCTTCCTTACTTGAATCTCGGGGCGAGATTCCTTTTAAGGGGGGAGGGCTGTGACACCCCGTGTCATAGTAGCCATAAACCTGCAGAAAACCCTCCCAAAACCTGAACCAAATCAGCTCAAACAAGAATCTGAATTCAAAGCCAATAGATCAAATAAATGTCAAACCAATGCTTGTGAAGCAACTCAAACTTTTCAATAACAACCTGACCCAACCAAAAATTCTGTAGAAAGCAGATCAGAACAAGAATTTTGGAGAATTTTCCAGAATGTTTCCAATTCTGGAAGTGCATCTGAAAATTCAGAGAAGTTCCTGTAAATCCTGTTGTTCCTTGATTTTTATATCGAATTCTGTTGCTCAATTCCACTTAGTGCCAATGAGGTAGTTGGAGCTGGATCTGTACTCTATCCGCCCAGAAATTTTGGTGATTTTTGGAGCACAGGAAGTACCATGAATAATTCGTGGAAATGCGCTGGATTTAATTCGCTGAAAAAGAAAAGGTTGCCGGGCCTGCTGTCAGAACTTCGCAGCCACGTCGCCGGCGATGACCGTGGCCACGCCGCGCGCCTCCACCCGTACACCGGATAAGGGACCGAGTCATCCAATTACTCCTCGACCTCTCCCTTTTGCGCCGGCCCCGTCAAAAGCTAACCCTAGCACCCCCATTTCCCTCCCGCATCGCTCCTCCCTCCATTGCCGGCAAGGAGACGAGCTCGCAGCCCCGCCGCTCCTGCGCTTCACCGTGCGAGCCACTGCACGAGGATGGCCTGAAGCCCGCGCAGTCATCCCATCTCTTCCTCCGCGCGCCGAGACGGCGAATCGACCCGCACCCCTGCCATGGCCGGTGGTTGAGCACCTCCGCTCCGCCGTTTTGCGAGTTTCCGGCGAGCCGGCGAAGCTCCGGCGAACCTCCGGTCGCCATGGCTGGAGCTCGATCCAGTCTGGATCGATCTGTGGCCGGGTTCTGATCCGGTGCGGCCAGCTCTCTGTGTCCCTCATGTGGCTGCAATCTCATTGGCCGGCTCCTTTTTCCAATTCCGAATTTCTTTTAATTCACATAAAAGTCGCAGTAACTTGTGAAATGCATAGAAAATAGAATACACCTCAGAAAAATGCCAAACCAGTTTTGTTGGCTTCCTTCTGCTCATGTCTATCCAGAGAAAATGTAAAATTGCTTCAAATAACCTTCATGTTTCCTGTATGATTCTTTATATGCTAACCCTTGTTTAAATCAAAATAAATTCTCTGTTAGTCCTTTATTCCTGAAATCTTGCATGCATGTAAACAACCTCTCAGCACACTTACAGAACATTTTCCCACTGTTAGATCTTGCCTAATTATTTTCTTATGATATATTTCATTTCTGCACTCATTAAATTGTTAAAAATAATCCAGAACACCATAAATCTTCCAACATCACAGTAAATCACTTTGAGTAATGCTTAATCCCAGAAAAATGTCACTGTACCATAACTTAATTTTGAAGTCGTCTAAACCAGGTTCTTTACTTAAGTGAATTTAATTTAATTGCCTCATGTTCATTGCATCTAACTTGCATTCCTTTGTCATGACGTATAGCATTCGAGGTGACCAGGAGCAGCTGGAGGATCAAGATGCTGAGCAGTTCAGAAAGAGATATTAGCTGACTCTCTAGTAGCTAACATCGCATTTGAGCCAGGCAAGCCCCGGTGCATGCCTTCCTGTTTATGCTTTTTCTTTGTCACTTGATTGGGGCTAGTAATTGAATATGCATTAGGTTTATTAGGAGTTGATGTGAAACCATAGAACTGCATTAGGACCCCCTTCCAGATTTACCTTGTGTCCTATTTTTGTAGTAGTTGATTTTAGGTTATCGTTAGAATCTGCTATGTTTAGGGTCTAGCAGACGGTAGAAGACGAGTGGTAGGTCCCACTCCCATGATAGGAATTACCCTGGATTGTACTAGAAGAATTTTAGGTTTGTTGCAGACCGGACGGGATGTTTGATAGGATGATTGGAGAAGGCTGGGCCCTCATAGTGATAGCCCCGTGTGTCGATTAAGGACCGTTCGTTGTTGGCCTTATTGAGCAAGTTCGAACGTACTGATCACATGCTAGTGTTCTATGGGCCTAGTAAAACGAGTAGCTTAGCAATTGTGGAGACAACATCGGCGCCTGCTGCTACGGGGGAATGAGGGTAGCCACCCACAGACGACGGCTGGGCCGGGTGTTTTGTGGGCCCAAGACTTTCGCCGGGAGCAGCAGATCGAGTCGGCCTTGCGGAGGCTTTGTAAAAGGTTGCCATATGTGACCTTTGTGCTGCATATGTCGTGTGGTTAGGTTTTCTTCTGCAGGATGTACATCGATGCCGCCGCTCTCGGTAATGAGCAACCTTGTTCACTGCGTCACATCGTAGTGTGATATGATTGATGATGATGTTCTAGTACTGTTACATTATATCTCATTACTGTTATATTGCTTATCTGATGTTGTATCTGTTTTAAAGATAAGTGCACTGTTTTATTGGCTAAGTACTTAATCTGAATTAAAACCTGACAATAAGGACCAAGTAATTAGTGCGGTTTTATGCTACCGAGTCAGCCTACCCCTTGTAGCCTTTGCATATTAGGAGTCGGCTATAGTTAGCCACGTTGACGGGTAAGTCTTGATGAGTATTAGTTGCTCAGGGTTTGGCTCTTTATGTTTTTGTGCAGGTTTATTCTTGCTTCCGTTGATGTTTGGTGGAGCTTCCAGCGGGTCCGCATCGTGAGGCTTCGATGTGCGGCCTTTGTATCGTCGAGAGTAGTAGTTGTTTCATGTATCTTCAGACTTCCGCTGTGTACTCACATGTTTTAATCCATTTGAGACTTATTGTAATAACTTAAACATGCAAAATTTATGCTCTTTATGTGATGTACTGTTGTGTCCGTTTACCGACACTTCCGACTCGATCCTGTGAAAAGCGGAAACGCTTCATTCAGGAACCACACCTCCACGAAAACACATTTTCATATGATTATATCTTTCATTTCATCAAAGAAGATCTGCGACAGAAGGATTCGAACCTCCAAATAACAGGACCAAAACCCACTAATTTACCAACTTGGCCACGCCCCATTCGTTTTTAGGTCACCCTAAAATCTCTGTTGATCTATATATAGTTTTCTTTTCCCTATCATAAATGACTGAAACATGAAAGATCGAGAGCTCAACTCTTCTGCATATAAAACACAAATATAAATGCACACCATTGAAGTAAAGACAGTATTACCAGAAGGAACCACACCAGCCTTCAATACTGATCACATGATAAATTTCAAACCTGATCTGGTAAAATTTCAACCAGGTCATTCCCTTCACCCAATTTCAAGCTCCGTCGTGCATAATCCTAATTGTTGGGCAATATTTCAACAATTGTGTACCCACGCAAGGTCCTAAAGAACCCCTCTGATAACACCAAAAAAATAATACCTCATGAACAATCTATCATAAAGCGTGACTGACAATGATGTGCAGCCAGACCAAGCACGTAACCTATACTTGAGAAGAAGAAAGGGCACGGACATATATCACGCACGGACCAGAAGAAATTCCATTCATTAAACAAGATATTTCTCCAAGAATCTATGGAACAATACTGACGGAGCCACATGTTTAAATTGCAAATTCGGCCATCATTACTGAACTAATGAGCATTATTTTTCAAGAATTTTACAACAAATATTGAAAAACAAAATATAATGAGCAATTCTGAATGTATAAATCCCTCCAGGAACATGCTACATACATATATATGTTTCTTTTTGCAGGCTCACTCTTTTAGTTTATTGTGGTTCAAAGTCTGCTATTGAACCCATGACCTTACTATAGGCATTTTCCATAGAACAAATGTAGAATTTTTACTACAATGCATGGATAGTTTGATAGGAACAACCCAGCTATATCCAATGGCCTCTCTCGAAGTGTCGTTTTCCATACAATAAATAAAGCTCCATCATCTAAGATTGTAATGTGCTCTTCTGCTGTCACATGTGAAAATAATAAATTATGAATGAAGTCCCGGTTACCTCAACAATGCAATGCCGCGCATACCACATCTGAACAATTGAGCAGAAGCTTGTCTTGCAGCAGCGTAAGCAGAAAATGATGAACCCACTTTACTAAAAGATGAAAAGGCAAGCAAGTAGTACCATGGATTATGGATGGATGCAGTGAGTCACATAAAAAGCCTCTCCCAATGCTTTTCTCTGTTGGGCGCCCGCGTCTTGTCCATCGATAGCCAGGGCTGTAGCATCTCGCACAAGGCGCAATCCTAGCCATGTCGATATACAACATACCTGGTGTGCGTGCAATGCCTGCGGCCAATAGAAAAAACGAGACCAGTGAGAACATATGGCAACGAACACAAAGTCCACGGATGCTCTTCCAAGGGTTTCATCTCGACAGTATGGTACAGGATGTGGCGTTGTGTCTACAAATCAATGTAGCAGCCGGAATTCTTGCCTTGCCGATCTAGGTTTCGCCAGCAAGCTAAGGTCAACGAAGAACTTGTCCTTTTGCAGATAGACCTCGTTGAAGAACTTGCCTTTCCTGCCAATACTCGAGGTGGCTTGATCTGGTGTTGTGCTGCACTGACGCACGGACGAACGGCAAGCTGGGATCTGCCTTGCGAAGCTGTGACTTCCAACAACATCTATCAAGCACGATCAGCCACTCGACTTTTGTCCGTGGTTCTCGGACCTTATCTGCCCTCGCAAGTTACGGTTCTTGATTCTCTCAACTAAGGCAGGCAATGCGATGGTGATATCGTAGACAGAGGCCAATGGCACGGCGACGGATGATGCGTGGTTCGATGGTGTTTGCGCGCTCTTGCCCAGTCAGACAGCACGATCTCGCCTTGATCGCGAGATGCAACGCAACCTTCGCGGCTTGAGGAGGTCATGGTGTGCTCATCGTGGAAGAGGAAGGAGCCGGAAGCGATCGAACAACTCGGCGGCGGTCCCGACCAGGTCATCTGGCGGCATCACGTGTGTGGCCTCCCCCCGGCTGTGTTGCTACTCGAGCGAGAGGAGGCAAAGCCGGAAAAGGAGGTCTGTGACGTAGAGCTGGACGGGAGCAGGCCCTGAGGTTGTGCAGCTCCTGGAGACTCGCCATGGGGGGTCGATTGGAATCCAGCAAGGCAGCAATCAGCCGGAGTTGAAGCGAACTCGAGCACAACACAAGCGTGCATAGGAGAGGAAATCGTATTCGTCCACAACACGGAATCAATCGGGGCAGAGGGACGAAAATCGCAGACCAAGGAGGTGACTCACAGGACTCAGATCGTGCGGCAATGACTATGGCGGAGGCAATATCCTACGGTCCAACTGAAACAAACCCAAAACACGGCAGACATATCACGGATTACAAACTTATTAGTATTAAGATAGATTAGATTAGATTAGATTGTTGTCACTTGATTTTTTTGAAAAAAAAGGTCATCATTGATTCTAGGTCGTCATTGGTTCTGCAGCGCAGATTGTCCTCGATGGGTGTCCTCGTGGCAATCCATGTGTTTTGATTAGCCCACTAGTGCATCCTAACACAAGACTTATGATGTCTTTGAGTAGTTGTCAAGTTGAATGACTTTTTTGCACCCACCTTGCAAGTTCGTGTACTACCAATGCAATTTACTTATTAAAAAAATAACTCTGAGAAAAGAGAGAAAAAGACACAAGGAAAGTTAGAGCTCTTTTTAGAAAAATACACGAGGAAAGTACCGCGATGCCGTACGCCGTCTCATACTATCTCACCGTATAAACTTTTTTCCTGGTCGATCAAATCTCGTGCGAAGCTGCGGCAACATGGCAACCCTAGCCAGCCCTACCGAATCCTCCAACTCGCCGGCGGCGGCCTGCCCAAGCTGGGTGATGCTGAAACGCTACAACAACGGCGACGACGGTAACTCCTCCTCCGCCACCGGCGACGCCAAGACCGCGGCGATCTGCCGCACCACAACCGGCGGCCTCGAGCGTCCACAGCAGCTGGGTAGGCGACGCGCCCACCGACGACGATGGTCCCCACGTCGTGGCGGCGCACGACAACGTCGTCCTCTTCCAGATCAGGATCCCTCGGGAACGGCGAGGTTCTTGCACCGACACCTTCGAGTACTTCCTGTAGGACGCAGGCGGCGGCGGCGTCGCCCGGCCGCCGGGGCTGTCCCTCCTCCCCGGCTGCTACACCTCCATGCAGTTGGAGCGAATGGGAGGCGCCCGCCGCCTGGTTCCGACGCCTTGTAGCAGCGCACGCGCCCTGAACACGGAGGACACCGGTGTCCTGCACCGCCGTGGCGAGGACGACGGCAGCGAGGTCCTGGTCGCCCAGCTAGAGGTGGCTTGGGACGCGCCACGCGACACGGCCGAGCTCTGCGTGCTCCGTCGCGTCACCGGCGGCCCGTGCGAGTGGGACCTCAAGCGGATTCCCATCGTCCACGGCGACGGCGCCAGCGGAGTGGACGAGCTGATGGAGCCGTGGAAGACCGACGCGGTCGTCACCGCCGGCGACCAGTTCATGTGCTGGGTCGACTACTACGGCGGCATCCTCCTCTGCGACATGGCCGACCGGACCCAGCTCCGGTACCTGCCGCTGCCCAGCGGCGCCACAGAAGCGACCGTCCTTACTTGCAGAGCTACCGCACCTTGGCCGGCGCCGGCGCCAACAGCACCCTCAGGTTCGTCAGCGTCGACCGTCGCTGCTGCTGCGGCGACGCCGTCGGCGAGAGCAAGTGCGCGCGCTCGCGGTTCGCGTTCATGGTGACCACCTGGACGATGAGCCTCTTGCCGACGACGGGGGAGCCGATGACGTGGGTCAAAAATGGCGTGTTCCACTGCGACGAGCTCTGGGCGCTGCCTAGCTTCGGGAGCCTCCCGCGCATGCCGTTGGAGTTCCCCGTCGTTAGCTCCGACGACCCGGATGTTGTTTGCTTCCTGCTCAGCAACGACTACTGCGGCTGCGGCAAACTTGACAGGCGCGAGGACAGGAGGCTGTGGACGGTCATGGTCAAAACGAGCAACAAGACGGTGCTGTCCGTCCTCCCCCAAGACACCATGCTATTGCGTGACCCTCTTGTACCAGTGAAACTAAGCGTACACTAGCTACACATCTGTAGAGTACAACTAACAACTGGCATGCAGGGAATCCAAGTCGATCAAAAAATCCAACTCAGAAGTGTATTTAATATCTTAAGGCAACTGAAAACGCAAAAAGAGTAAGGGAAGCTAGGACGGTGGCCGTGGGGCATCGGTCAACTCGTCATTCATAGCTTTATTTGTTCTCTCCGTCTCTCGCCATGTATACAATGACCGCGAGTTGAAGGACCAACGAATTGGGCTGCAGATTGAACGTCGATGATGGGGCATCGTTTGTCCAAGGTGGATTGGACGGTTCACGTGTTAGCATCAGTATCGGCACGGCCTGATGTGTGTCGCATCAACATTCTACCCTCCTAAAAGAGACATTGCGTCGGCGTCCTCGAGCCCCGATTGAAGACGTACAATGGTGTGGTGTTGTGGCAGCCATGCATGCTTTATGTCCTGCCAATCCGGTACGCTGGCCTCATCTACTAGCTACTGCGGCGTGACGCGGAGGTCGCCTCAACCATTGAAGACTGCCGCTGTTGAGCACATGGATCCAACTAGAGAAAAACAAGTTTTCTGTGGGGATCTTTTTTCTTTGTCAACAGAACGAGGGGCCATGTTAGTGTTTTTGTTTTGTTATTTTGCGAGGAAGTTAGTGTGTTCTTACACATGCATACAACACTGTTACAAGGCAAGAAATCCAGCTGTGCAAAAATTAAAGACAATTCACAAATAGGACTCAAATTATCCACATCTAACATAGATGCCACTTCTCAAAATAGAAGTTATACTATTGGATTCAGATCCAACGGCTACAAAATGTGACTTACACGAATACAAAATCTAAGTCGACTTACGTGAAGCATCTCCCTGTCGAATTTTGTAACCATTAGATTTTGATCGGACGGCCGGCGTGTTTGTGTCCGTTTGTATTTTTGTAATTTTGTAGCCGTTAGATTTTGTATGCGTGTAAGTCAAATTCTAAGTCGAATTTTTTGTTCT